AAAAATGGAGAGAGGGCTCCAGAGGAAGGGAGGACAATCGAAGGAAACGTGTCTAGACTTTCCCCAGCCCTCTGCCTCTTTCCGCTGCCTACAAAAGCCCCAGGCCTAGCCACAGTTCTGTCTCCACCTTTTAGTCGCCTGTTCTCCAACCACAGAGGAAAGAAATAAGGAAGGAGTCGGTGCTGCCTCCAGAAGTATCTATATACCTGATCGGATGGTCGCCTTTTGCAGAGGACATCAGTAGGACATCCTGTGAGGGCTCCCAGACTGTGAAGGGGCAGGCCGGGCTGAGGGACCACCCCCTCCCCCGTGCTCAAATTTTCATGCACCGGGCCTCTAGTATGAATACATTTCCCCAGAAAGATGACTTGTCCATGGTGATTACTTCCACAATATGGGTGGTACATTCTTTTGAATACATTACCGGCTTAATAACCTGTATACCTGATCAAGAAACCTAACCACTTTTTTTTTAATGAAAAGATTATGGATCTTGAACTGAGAAAAAATAGAATTTATTTTATTTTAAATTTATTTTTATTGTTGAAAGTATTACTTATGTCCCCATTTTCTTTCCCACTGACCCCCTCCATCCTGCCCCCCCATCCCCAGGCCTTCACCACACTATTGTCTGTGTCCATGGACTATGCATATATACATAGCAATTCTTTGGTTAATCTCTTTCTGTCTCCCCCACTTCCCCTTCTCCCATCCTTCTGAGAGTCATCAGTCTGTTCCATGCTTCTGTGTCTCTGGATCTATTTTGTTTGTCAATTTAATTTGTTCATGATATCCCACATATAAGTGATATCATGTGATACTTTTCTTTCTCTAACTGGCTTATTTTGCTTAGCATAATACTCTCCAGGTCCATCCATGCTGTCTCAAAGGGTAAAAGATCTTTCTCTTTTACAGCTGCATAGTATTCCATGGTATAAATGTACCACAGCTTTTTTATCCACTCATCCACTGATGGGCACTTAGGCTGTTTCCAGATCTTAGCTATTGTGAATTGTGCTGCTATGAACATAAGGGTGCATAAATTCTTTCTAATTGGTGTTTTGGGTTTCTTAGAATATGTTCACAGAAGTGGGATTACTGGGTCAAATGGTTTTCCATTTTTACTTTTTGAGGAAACTCCATACGGTTTTCCACAGTGGCCGTACCAATCTGCATTCCCACCAGCAGTGCACCAGGGTTCCCTTTTCTCCACATCCTCACCAGCACTTGTCATTTGTTGATTTGTTGATGATAGCCATACTGACAGGTGTGAGGTGGTATCTCATTGTCCTTTTGATTTGTATCTCTCAGATGATTAGTCACTTTGAGCATGTTTTCATATGTCTCTTGGCCTTCCTTATGTCCTCTTTGGAGAAGTGTCTATTTAGGTCCTTTGTCCATTTTTTATTGAATTGTTTATCTTTTGTTAAGTTGTATGAGTTCTTACATAATTTGGATATTAAACATTTATTATATGTATCATGGGCAAATATGATCTCCCATACACTGGGCTCCCTTTTCATTTTGTTGATGGTTTCTTTTGCTGTGCAGAGCTTTTTATTTTGATGTAATCCCATTCGTTTATTTTTCCTTAGTTTCCCTTGCCCTAGGAGAGGTATCCACAAGCATATTGCTATGAGAGATGGCTGAAATTTTGCTGCCTTGCTTTTTCTAGGATTTTTTTTTTTTTTTGGTTTCATGACATTTAAGTCTTTTATCAATTTTGAGTTTATTCTTGTGTATGGTGTAAGTTGGTGGTGTGGTTTCATTTTTTTGCATGTATCAGTCCAATTTCCCCACCACCTTTATTGAAGAGACTGTCTTGACTCCATTGTATTCTCTTGCCTCATTTGTCAAATATTAATTGCGTTTAATGCCTTGGGTCAATTTCTGGGGTCTCTGTTCTGTCTCATTGGTCTATATGCCTGTTCTTATGCCAGTATTGGGCTGTTTTGATTACAGTGGCTATGTAGTATAGCTTGATATCTGGTAATGTGATCCCTCCAACTTTGTTCTTTTTCAGGATTGCTATGGCTATCCAAGGTCTTTTTTGGTTTCATATTAATTCTTGGAGTATTTGTTCTATATCTGTAAAATATGCCATTGGCATTTTAATAGGGATTGTATTGAATGTATAGATTGCTTTGGATAGTATCTTGATTATGCTGATTCTACCAACCCATGAATACGGTATATTCTTCCACTTCTTTATACCTTTTTCTATCTCTTTTTTTCAACATCCTATTGTTTTCTGAGTATAGGCCTTTTATCTCCTTGGTTAAGTTTATTCCTAAGTATTTTAAATTTTTTGTTGCAATGGTAAATGGGATTGCTTTGTTATTTACCCTTTCTAAGAGTACATTATTGGTGTATAAAATCGACATCAATTTCAGGTTGTTAATTTTGTATCCTGCTAAATTGCAAAATTCATTTATTGAATCTAGTAGTTTTTTGGTGGAGTCTTTAGGGTTTTCTATGTACAATATCTTGTCATCTGAGAATAATGAGAGTTTTTCTTCCTCCTTTCCAACTTGGGTGCCTTTTATTTCTTCTTCTTTTCTGATCACTGTGGCTAAGATTTCCAGTACTATGTTGAATAAGAGTGGTGAAAGCAGAACCCCTGTCTTGCCCCTGATCTTAAGGAAAATGTTTTTAATTTTTGCCCAGTGAGTATGATGTTGGCTGTAGGTTTGTCATATATGGCCTTTATTATATTGAGATATGATCCTTCTATTCCCACACTATTGAAACTTTTTAATAAAAATGTCATGTTGAATTTTGTTGAATGCCTTTTCTGTGTCTATTGATATAATCATGTGATTTTTGTCTTTCAGTTTGTTTATGTGATATATCATGTTTATTGATTTGTGAATATTGTACCAGCTTTGCATCCCTGATATAACTCCCACTTGGTCATGGTGTGTAATCTTTTTGATATATTGCTGGGTCTGATTTGCTAATATTTTATTGAGAATTTTAGTATCTATGTTCATCAGGGATATTGGCCTATAATTTCCTTACTTTGTAGTGAGTTTATTTTATTTTGGAATTGGGATAATTCTGGCCTGGTAAAAGGAGCTTGGAAATGTTACTTCCTCTTGGATTTCTTGGAATAGTTTGAGGAGAATAGGTGTTAGTTCTTCTTTGAATGTTTTGTAAAGCTCCCCTGTGAAGCCATCAGGACCAGGGCTTTTGTTTGCTAGGAGTGGTTTTATTATTGCTTCAATTTCATCAGTTGTTTTCAGCATATTCAGGTTTTCTGCTTCTTTCGGATTTGGTTTTGGAAGAATGTATTCATATTTTCTATGAATTTGACCATTTTGTCCACTTTGTGCAGCTTATTGGCAAATAATTGTTATTAACATTTTCTTACAATTCTTTGTATTTCTGTGGTATCAGTTGTTACTTTACCTCTATGGGAGCACCTTTGTAGGTAAAAAAATTGCTTTTCTCTTGCTGCCTTTAAGATTCTCTCTTTGTCTTTAATTTTTGGCATTTAATTATGATGTATCTGGGTGTGGGCCTATATGGGTTCTTCTTGCTTGGGACTCTCTGTGCCTCCTGAACTTGTGTGACTTTTTCCTACACCAGGTTAGGAAAAAGTTTCCTACACCAGGTTAGGAAAATAATGGTTTTCTGCCATTATTTCTTCAAACAGGTTCTCTATTCCTTGCTCACTTTCTTCACCTTCTGGCTTACCTATGATGCAGATATTGTTTATGTTTCATGTTGTCCCACAGCTCCCTTAAGCTGTCCTGTTTTTTAATTGATTTCCTTTTTGGTTCTCTGATTGATGATGTTTTACTACCCTGTCTTCTAATTTGCTGATCTGATCCTCAGTTTCCTCTAATCTGATGTTTATTCCTTCCACTCTATTCTTTGTTTCTGCTATGTCATTCTTCATTTCCAACTAGTCATTTTTCATACTTTCTATATCTTTTCTCATGCTACTGGCATTGGGCATCTTTATAATCATTGCTCTGAACTCTGTATCTGATCATTTGCTTATCTCAATTTTATTTATCTCTTCTTCTGGAGATTTCTCTTGTCATTTCATTTGGAACTTGTTTTTTGTCTCCCCATTTTGGCTACCTGTTTAGGTTTGTTTCTGTGTACTAGGTAGATCTACAAGGACTCCCAGGTTTTTTTTTGTTTGTTTTTGGGTGTGTTTTTTTTTTTTGTGTGTGTGTGTGTGTAGGGGGTCTCTGATGTAAGCCAATGTCAGGTGCTGTTTGTGACTGGCCCTGGGTACCCTTTTTGGAGCTCTCAGTGATCCACAGCTGTGGCTCCCTCTGGTGGGCCTGGGTGCATTTGGAAAGGCAAAAAACCTAATCACTTTTATGTAAATCTGAAATGCATGTTCCCACTTTTTATATAATCTACCGAAAATAATTTATGGACACAACTAATTGGAAACTACTTAGACTTTACATTAGTAAATGTCAAGTTTGAAAGTTCTGAAAGGATGGGTCATTTTTAAGTGCATCAGAGTAGATCATAGAGCTACTCTAATTTGTGTTAAGAAGGCTATAATTGCATTTCCCTTTTTAGTTCAGGAGCACTTTAACTTCCTTTTTTTTTTCTTCCTTTCTCCTCTTTGCTGCATCTTTAGAAATGCAGGTTATACTTAATGTGGAGATTGTTTCTGCTCTCTCCCTGTCTATAGCAAGTTTGAAAATTCTAAGGAAAGGGCTTTAAGTTTTAATCCTCTAATTATATAAAAGGCAGGAAGCATTAAGAAGCTTACTGAAGAGTTGAATTGTGCTATAATTTGTTTTCTGTGGTTTGAGTTGAGAAGAGCCATAAACAAGTCTATGTTTGGCTTTGCTCACATGGCTGTCTTGGTACTTAAGCACCACTCTGATCCCTTCGTATTGGCTTATTTTCCCATGTGTAAGACTCTGAACTGTCAAATAAGAATGGTGTCTACACTCTAAGGACATTTTGAGATCCTACTATGAACACGCGATGTAGGAATTTTCTTTTGAATTTTATTCCAGAAATTTCTACCACAGGACCTTTTGGCATGGGAAGCACCACCACCAGTACCACCCTTCGGACCACAACTTTGAGTGCCGGCAGGAGCACCACCCCGTCAATATCAGGGAGAAGAAACCGGAGTACCAGCACCCCGTCTCCAGCTGTTGAGGTGCTTGACGACACTACCACGCACCTGCCATCAGCATCATCCCAAATCCCAGCTCAGGAGGAGAGCTGTGAGGCTGTGGAAGCCCGAGAAATCATGTGGTTTAAGACCCGTCAAGGACAGATGGCAAAGCAGCCATGCCCGACAGGAACTATAGGTAAGTCTGTCCTATAGAACTAAGCTAAAGATTTGTCACTACTTTGGCTTGCTTTTTTAGCATTCTTTTTTACGTCTCTTTGTTGGTACTGCACATTTAATTAAAGTCTGAACTCAGCTAAATGACAATTTAATGCAGTGTATTTTCAGAGTTTCAAAATGCATTCTGAAGAAGGAACAGGTGAGAATTTGATGGGACTACATTGAGATCAGTACTTTTCATCCATAGTGTGCAGTTTCTGGTTGGAGTTACACTTAGTACACTAAGGCCATGAATGTCCCTGATACTCCAGAGAGGCAGTTCTTCTTCTGCATGTGTGCGTGTGTGTGCGTTGTGTGTGTGTGTTTTCCGTGTGTGTGTGTGTGAGAGAGAGAGAGAAAGAGAGAGTGAGAGAGAGAGAGAGAGAGAGAGAGACTGAGAGAGAGAGAGATTTGTTGTTCCACTTATTTGTGCATTCATTGGTTGATTCTTGTATGTGCCTGACCAGGGAATCAAACCCACAACCTTGGCCTATCAGAACAATGCTCTAACCAACTGAGCTAACCAGCCATGGCCACAGCAGCTCTTTTCAGCGACGCAGAGAAATATCACTGGAATGATGGGGGCTAGTGCTCACTTTTGTCACCAGCCTCAAATGTTCATTGCAGAAAGAGAGATTAAACACTTCTCTGTTAGAAGACAGTCATTGAAACTGTCTAAATTTTAACAAAAGAGAAGTTTAACTATTTTTTACCAATTATTGTAGCTGTCCTTTAATAGTCAAAGGCTTGTAGCATTGTCAGGGATCCTGCAGGCAGGAGCCAAAATCCCACTCCCTCAACATGCACTAGAGAGAGCAATGGGGCGTTTTCTCTAAGGGACAGTTAAGCACTAAGCAGCTCTTTCCTCCTTCTTTTTTACTGATATGATTCAGAATATCCTCAAGTGGTAACCATATTATTCGTACAATTTTTAAACCAGAAATAGCTTGATTTTCTTATTGTTACATACATTGATCTTCAAGAAATTTTGCATTATTCCATAAGATATGTAAAGGAAGCAAATACACAATAGATGTCACTATAGTAGCATTTTTCATTATTGTATCTTTGAGTGTTATTGATTTAATTACATTAAGGAATCATGTTTCTCTGAGAAAAGTTCCATGGTGTATAAATTAATGGGAAGGCCAGAGGTATCTTGGTTTTTACCAAGATAAAAGTTCCGTTTAATTTTATTTCTCCAGTAGAGTGTTTAAAACTATTCAGAAATCTACCTTGCCTTTATGAAGGGGGGTGATGTTTAGTTCTAAAGTCTTCTGTGGCAATCGAATCAGATACTGATATTATTACAAGCCCCTACTTCTGACGTTTGTTGTAAAAGTTAGTGAAATACTTTATTTCAAAGCACTTTGAAAACCAGAACTATGTCCTAATGGTTCTATGAAAACTGGGAAAGAGATTTAAAGGAAGCCTTCTGAAGCTCTCCCGCGTGACTGTGCCTACACCGGAGTCTTATTTTTACCTTTCCTCTGACCCTGCTGCTGTGCTCCTGTTGGGGCCCACACAGTCTCCCACTAGAATTATTGCAAGAGCCCCCTCACAACCTCCGCATCGCTCCCTCAAACTCACCCCCATGCAGCTGCAACAGTGGCAGTTCTAAAACCTTAATCAGCTCATTTCTCTCATCTGTTTAATGATCTTCATTGATTTTTCCAGCACCCACACAAGACAGACAAGGAGTTGATGATCTGGCTTTGCCATTAAACAACTCCCCTATCCAATAGACCTCAGTTCAAAACACTTAAAGTCACCCAAACACAGTATATTTTTTCTCCACTTTCAGTGAATGCCCTTTCCCACGTTGTTTTCCTAAAAAATCTGCAAACTGATTGCTGTAAGACTCGGTTATTCCATTACCTCTGAAAATCAAGCAGTAGGCTCCCTGGAGACAGGTACCACATCTATCTAATTCATGAAGTTTTTCCCGCTCCTGGCATAGTTGCCAGCAAGTGCTTTAAAAATATTGAATATTTTTGTTTGTTGTATTACATTTCTCCCTAACCAGTTGCTTACCAGGTACTGGGCATGGTGTTATGATAGGTATTATCTCAGTGTAATGATCTCATTTTTACTTTTGCTTATATTACAGCATAGCATGGATATACAGTCCTGGTAGAGAAAATGGTTTGAATTTCTAAAACAGACCTATTTCTCTCATTATTTTAGGAGTATCAACGTATCTATGCCTGGCTCCTGATGGAATCTGGGATCCCCAAGGACCAGATCTTAGCAACTGCTCTTCCCCTTGGATCAACCATATCACACAAAAGGTAAATCACATGACCTACAAGGAAGGTCTGCCAAACCTGGACCCTGTGTTGTTGATCATCCCTACCTTAAACAGGAGTCAAGATTTAAAAAAAAAAGTGGAAATATTCTCCCATTTTTATTTAATTTAAGATTGAATGACAACCTCTGATATTCTACAAACTAATTCTGGAATTTTATGTTCTTAAAGGTCAACTTTGAGAACTTCTTCTAAGCCAAGCAGTACTACTCCTAATAATTTTATTATTAACTAGAGGCCCGGTGAACAAAATTCATGCACTGGGGGTGGGAGGATTCCTCAGTCTGGCCTGTGCCCTCTCGCAGTCTGGGACCTCTCTCTCCTTACCGCACAACTGCTCACTGC